TAGCCATATCATATTCAAGCTTCTTTTTCATGTAAATCACAGGAGTCACACACACTATATAGCGCCCTTGGGATATGTGGGATGAAAAGTCTGTTTCTCAGTGGGGGCTGACTCCTGTTTAATATTGGAAGGACAAGGTAAAATCACTGATTCTACAGATTTAATCATAATAAACTACAAAGTTGTATATCTGGCTCTTCACAGGGGTATTTAGAAATGCAAAATAGCTTGGCTGAAATACACCCACAAATTCCCTTTAGAAATTGGACTTATCTCAAAATATAGTCTGAGTGGTATGGGGGACAAGAAAATGGTATTTGTGGTTTTTTACTAGTGCTAAAAAAAGTTTTGAAAATGGATTTAATTAGACTCCTGGAATTTTTTTTTTTTCCCCCATAAAAACTTTTGCATTTGCCTCAAAAGAAATGTGGTCTTTCAAAGGCATCCTTTGCATGAACACAGCTTACACAAATGCAAAACTGTGGAAGAAAACCACTGAAAGATCAAGTCCTTAGGACACAACTGCAGTCTCCTTGTATCCTTTGAACCCTACATTGACTGCATAGTGGTATCCACGTACTCTCACTGGGAGGGCTGCCATGAGTGATTACCATCCAGCATGAGTATGAGTTGTAGAGAGACGCTCTAAAGCACGCCTTCACAGTGGGCATGGCCAGATCTGTGCTAGCCCCTGAACTTGGAGCGCGGAAGAACAGCACGACGCCAGCTCTGCCATCACCAGCCCTGCTCTGGATGCGGCAGAGGCGTCTGTGGCACGGCACCGCCCAACGTGGGCTTCCAGCCTGAGCTGGTCTCCGTTCAGGGCTGTACTGCCCCAACGTACTGTCTCTGCTACAAATAGCCACGGTGTGCCCTACTCTGCTGCGTAGATACGTCTGAGCTACAGCTCTACAGCAGTGGCTTCTAGCTCGATACAAGGTCTGTCCCTGCAGCTGGGGAGGTGCTGTGGTCAGTGGGGCGAACACCGAGCGCTCCTGCAGCCTGCAGTGGACTTGGGCAGATGAAGGTGGTTTTTCTACCCAAGTAGAAAAGTAGCACATCCACATCTCTCCCTCAACAGTGAACAGCCTCAACTCCTCTACCACTCAGGGTCTCCTCATGACAATTTAAATAGCATAAATTTTGTATAATACCCAAAACATTTGTTCAATAGTGCAAGAACTCTTTACATTGAAATCCTACTTTGTTCTCAATGTATTTAACAAAAATTAAACTTCCTTTTTCATGTTTTTTTTTAAGAATACAGTCTGTGCGTATGACATACAGACACACATATTCCAGTATTCACAAACACATGTGGGTTTCATTTTATTTTTTAATCATAGATATAATTTTCTCTGATGTTTTCATTCTACAATAAAGACCAAACCTTTTTTTTCATCTCTGTTGCTATACCACAAGCTTCATTACCAATTAATGATGTTTAACGGGTAGCTAAATTGGCATTAAATGGAGACATTAAATAAAGATAATGTTTTTTCATTAATAAGATTGCTGAAGTAGTATTGTGTATCACTTTTATGCTGAATTGCTAATGAAATAGAATTACTCATTTCTTGTTTACAAAGCTGACTTTTAAAAATATTCCTTATTTTTTTCTTTGCTCTGTCACTCAAGGCCTTTTCCCAATGCAAATATGTAAACTACCTCTGACAATACTGTTACTTCATTATTTTAGAGTATTATTTCATAGCACAAATACATGATATTTATATCATGCATATTACTGTTTCATACTACCTGGTACAGTCTAACTGTCCACCCATCAAGAATAAAGGGTCATCACCAAAAAACGGTTAGCAGGAATAGGGTAACAGTTGTGTTTTCTAAAGCTCTCAATGAACTTCCCTTGAAATGTCAAAGGAGTACCACGTACACGGACCTATACATCCCGTCAGAAAGGAACTCCGACACTTTGAAATTGCACGCAAGGGATGGACAAACTGGTAAGTTGGAAGATAATACCAGTGCTGGAGCTCAGCACAAAAACGACGGCTAGGGAGGCTCCTACTCAGGAAATCCCCCCAAAATGAGGAGCGATTTCAGACATTATCCCTGCCTGGGTTGTTCTTTCACTTTCCAACACGAATCTAAAAAATCCTTCTCTAAATCTTCTGAAACTCAGCGATAGCTCTATTTTTTATACATTTTTTTTTTCTCATTTTGATGGCCAGGAAAAGATTTCACTGGGGCTTATCTTATTCCAGGCCAGTCTGTCACATTTACTAATAACAGCATAATTTACTAAGATCTATATAACTGCAATGGAACATGCCCTGCGCTCTGCACACAGCGTGTATGACTCCAGTGCAGTTGTGACAGTATCTTTTCTTCTGTGCAGTTCTTCAAACATACTACCCTTCTCTCAGAAGTGGTGGATTGATTTTTCCAAGCCATATATCAATGATGAAATTACTACGAATTAGTCTGCTGCTCCCTCACCCGATAGTTTCTTTCCAGCAAAAGGTGTTACAGTCTATTGAAAGAAATGTAGTTAATATTTCCTGAAAAGCAACATGAACAAAATCAGCCTCTGTTACTGTCTAGAAACACTCCTTCCATATGGTTGAATACTATCACTGAACAAGGAAGAGGAGGTGCGGGCTGCACTCACACTCATCTTACCTTAGGATATGGATACTGCTTTCCTTTTGGATATAGACCTCCAGTAAACCGGGGAATAACCATGTTCGGTACCAGAGAGTCATTTATGGTCAGGAACGCCAGTCTTTCACCGTCTGGAGACCACCAGTGGGCAACGTGAGAATGAAGAAGTTCCTCTGCAAAACCACATTTCCTTAGGGTCCATAAAAATGACTATCACATAGTTTCCAGCTCATTCAGTTGGCACCAATTGTTCTTTCCGTGCCTACCTGAAATGCGTCTGTTGTAATTTCAGTAATTTCACATTATCCTGGGTTGAATGTTTGGATAACAAGGCATATTGAAAGACCAAACTTTAACCATTGTCCTCAAATGAATACTTTCATTGACGTGATAGATCATCTTAGGAAGAGGATGTTTAAACCTGCCACATGTTTAGTTCTATTGCATTCCATTAGATGTGTTTAATTAATTTTTAAATGAATTGGACCATTTTAATAGACAGATTTTTTTAGGATTGTCAATCTATTTTTTTTCTTTTAATATACAACTTTACTATATCAAATTTCTCTGAGCTGTGGCACCTAGTAACATGTAGATCCTCACGCAGTGATATTCATGTAATCATTTTTGGAATGCAATACTTTGACTTTCTTGTCTCAGTCTAATGGTCAGCTTTAATTCTTGGAAAGGCCAGTTTTTCTGTAATGTAACTTTTTGAAAGTCCAAACACTTTTTATTTTTATCCAAACTTTATTTGATTTCCAAATGAAAGCAATTCTCAAAAACGTCATGCAATGTTTTCTTACATTTATTGTCATTGTATTTCATATTCGAAAGAAAACAAAACAGAAACAACCACAGAAGCAGCACCCAAACTCCTGGAATCCCAGTAAAGCAGCTCCTGACGTATTCCAAATTTACCCTGTACAGGCCTTCTGTCTTCCACTTGTGAAAAGACTTAGATTTTTTTCATTATGTATTTGATATGTTGACTTGTTTGGTGAGCATTTTGTATTTTAATTTGAAGAATTTGGCTGGAAAACTAATTGAGAATAGTATACTAATGGGAACAAAGGCCTGACTGCATACCTAATTTAAAAGCCTACCTACAAAACTACTTAAATTGTCAGTGGAGACTCTCCAAGATGCTAATCAGATTCTGAAAGTTTTTAAGCATCTTAATGGGTTGAATTATCTAAGGTTAGGTGCGATGAAGCTGGGACCTATATTAAAAGTCATATATTCTGGGTCATGCTTCTCTCCCTGGATAACTAAAACCTTTTACACAGGAGAACAGCAGCAAATGAATGGTGAATATCAGATAGCAAAAATCACAATTGTGTTTGTTTTAAAATATTACTGTTTGCATTCAAACAAGGTTATTCACACAAAGAAAAGCTATTCCCAAATGCTTTGTAAGGTAAAATGCTAATAACAAACTCATGCAAATGATAAAAGAAAACAAATGAGGTCAAAAGGAGGAACAGTTCTCAATTCAACTGAAAATCTCTTAACTTCATTTGGACGATATTCAGCCTGCTCACTTCTGATGCTATTAAAAACACCACCGAAAGTAGAGGACCGCTCTAAGTTAAACAATGGTTAATGGGAAAGAAGCGGTATATTCATTCATCCCAACAGACACGGACTGTGGTCCTCCAACATGTACAGACAGAATTCCCTTTTACCCTGACTTTAATTACGTATATTGTGGAGAAGAGCCCACTGCCTGCCTGCATCCCTGGGAACCCAAAGAGTTCTCTGTAAGTCAGGAAATGCAACAGCTATTTGGACCAGGGATTAAAAAACTTGGAAAAGAATGGGCAAAATCACTTAAGGAAGGCTTTAGGATGCACATCAGGAGGAAGGCTTTGGGATGCGTAACACCTCCCACACCATTTCAGAAACTTTCTAGTCCCAGACTAGACACCTTTTGCTTTTCCTTCTCATGACAAAGGTATGTGTATAGCTGTAGAGACAGGGAATAAGAAGAACAAACTGGGGTGGTAATCGATGTGGAGGGGTAAGATATTTGGATGAATACACCTGGCTTCCTTTTCAAAAAAGAACAAGCAGGCTCGTAGCCTTTTTGAAAATCAGCCAGGTATGAGACTTATGTATCCATGTGTTCACAGGCAAAAATCACTCACAGAACATATGAAGAGGTCTGTGTTTTGGTGTCAGCTAACGAAGCTCTGTGAAGCTTTAAAACTTTTCAGTCCTCAAATATTAATTAATAAAATGTGTCTGTAGTAATGATGGGCACACACAGAGAAGCAGGAGCATAACCTCAGACAAGCATCATTGCCATTATTGTGCTAGCTGCTCCTGTTCTTTTCAAGTTATCCCATTTTCTTTTTCTGTTCATCATGAAATATTTGCAGCTTAAAGGAATAGTCATTTGTTTTATCAACAGCTTTCTTGATCTTTAAAACAAATGAAGTTACAAAAAATCCACATCAACCTCTTTCAGATACTGAGTTACATAGGTAAGCTGAAATATAAAATAAATTTAAAAAAGCATATTGGCATGTTTCAAATAAAAGAGATTAGCTTTGATTCTCTTTAGTTCTTAAATGTAGATCTCATGAATGCAGAGGTCCAAATCATATAAAACCCTCCACATTTCTTCCATTAAAATATGTCTTGAACTTCTATCTGTATAATTCTTAGACTGGGTCTGCTCCATCCCTTCCAGACAGCTCAAATAAAACGCCTGGCAAATACCAGAACTGGGCACTTGCACTAGGTAACCTTTTGTGATCCCTTCCAGCCTGAATTATCCTATGATATCCTCATGATCGTTTGCAGACTAGGAAGGAATGTTTTTTAAAGAATCTCATACTACATTTTGTTCTGTGGAGTAGAGCTGTATAATGATCGTTCATTACATGTCGTTCACTGCAGCTCCATGCTGCACCCAGCTGCACCCCAAAGAGAAGAGAAACACAGGCTGCCCTCTTCTGAATAGGTGTCCTCAAAATGCCCACAGAATTGGAGCTAGAATTGCCTTGTTGCATCCATGACTGTGACTCTTAATAACTTCACTTTGTTTTAGCAAAAACTTTATATACTGTATCAACTTCAGTGAGCTATATATGCTTAAATTCTTCAATTTGCACGTAGTCATGTTAGATTTGAAGAATATGAAGTGCATGTAAAACTATATTCCATTCCAAAGATGTCCTCTGTCCTTAAGTTTTGAAATATGCTGCCATATTAAAACATTTCAAAACATTAATAGAAACCTTGAAGTGGGTAATTATCAGACACAGGCATTTATATGGCTAAGGGATGCAAAATACCATTCTAATTTCAGAGTTTACTTGGGCAGAGATTTTAAAAAATCCCAATGTGAGCTATCCGCTCATAGCTACTGAAATGCCAAGAGGTATAGACAGACCATTTCTAAGGGCCATATTGAAGTTCCTTGCTGTATGGTGTAACACCATTCCTAAAAAACACTCTGCTATGCAAAACTCTACATATGAGAAGTTATATACTTCAGGTAACTGAGTATTTAACACTGAGCTATTTATCTATAAAATTCCTGAGTCCCATAGAAAGAATAACTGAAATGTGTATTAATTTTAAGCTCTTGTACCAAGCTGGATAATCTGCTCCCATTTTTTTTTTCTATTTATTATTATGTTAAAAGCACTTTGGGTGCAGAGAGAAACATTCTGTGGTACTACGCAGAAGACGGCTTCAGAAGCCAGAGCATATCACAGACTGAGCTGTCCTACACTCCATTTTGGCACTACTTGCCAGCAACAGCAAGTTTTCCAGGAGTCTAGCCCAGTTGATTTAAGCAAAAGTAACAGCCACTGTTGAGGTAACAGTATGAGACTTTTAGATCTTGTCAAAACACTCAAATTGGATTCAGTCATGTTCTTAAAGTCAAGCACAATGTTACTGCCTGGCTTGAGAGGCTGGAGTCTCCCATGAGTCATGCTAACACACAGCACACCAACCACCACACCACTAAGGCTGAAGGAGAGACACTGATAAAAAAAAAAAAAAAAAAAAAAAAAGTGAGGCACCAGGCAGTATCATCTTTGATCACCTTTCGCTGTGTATCCAGCAGTAAAAAAGAAAACATAGCCAATTCTGCTTCTACGCTACGATCCTTCTGTGCCTTCTTCTATTAGGATATTTTAACTGTAAATAGATTGGCACTGTTGTTCACACAAGCAACAAACTGAGTCCTTTCCCTCCTCTCTTGCGTTGTAAACCCAGAATAGCTCCAAAGCTATGAATGGAGTTATCCAGATAAGCAAAACATACAGGGTGTTTAGTTTTATTTGAGCAGCTCTATTTGAAATGCCAGCCCCACTGAAGTTGGTAGTAAAATCCCACATCAAGATTTCACTACTATAGCATTTTTTACATACTACCTAGTGTTCATAATATATTTGATACATTCTGGTTGAAAATAAATTCCTCTTTCTCAGAAAATATTGTTATATGCAAACGAGCAGTCAATACCAAGCATGAACAGATACAAAGGCAATCTTGCAAGAAAATGAGAAGGCAAAGAAGCAAAAACAACCTTAGATAGCATTTTCTGAAATGAACAGATTTGTGCTGTTGGGTCTGTACAAGAACCTCTTATCTGTTTTAATAAATAGATATATTTGTCCGGCTTACCTTCATATAACCAGTCTGCAATTCCATTAAAAATAATTCCTTCTTTTCCCGAAGATGTCAGGCGCAATGAGCTACTCTTTACATCAGGCTGATAGTAGATGTTATTTTCAAAAATATAAATCTGGATGAGGTAAGAGGGATGAGGAGAAAAAAAAAAACATTTTGGTAGCTATAAATGAATGTTCAGCAACGAACACATCATTTCCTCAGGCTCAGAACAGTCTACAGAATAATTCAGCATGAGTTTTCACCAACATTGGCTTCATATTTCCTTTTATTATCAATTTGGACAAACTAAGCAAACTTTTAATACTTATGCCAAGCAAAATTCTTCCTTTGAAATTGTCTTCCCAGTTCAAATGTTTCTACTCACTTTAAGAAATATTATTACATTCCTCAGAATCATACTGGAGACAAGTTTTGTAACAGTTGAATAGATAAAGAAATTTTCCATTAATCCATTCTATCTAATAAAATTATCTGTTTTTCTAGCTGTGAAATTAGACACACTTCTGCAAGTACATACAGCACAGTACATACATCATAAATGCAAGTTACAGCTTTATGTCATGGTGTGAGAACATACTGGAAAAGCAAAAATAAATAGCAGACTGCCGTTAACTTTTCTCAGCTTGCTGACACTATTTCTGACTCTGACACACAGACCTTTTACCTCATGTGCTATATGACTGCCCTTTCTTTTCAAGTCTAGGCTCCTCCTCCTTTTCCTGCGAGTAACAGACTAGACAGACAGTCCTTTCCTCCTTCACTGCCACTTCTCACCCTTGTCTGCTTTTCTTTCCCCGATCACTTTGTCGCAAAGGATTTCAAGTTCACTCATTTTGTGAGACTGAGCTCCAGGCTCCATGACAAAGTGCAATAAAAGAAAGATAAAGGCAAAAAACCCCCAAAACCAAAAAAGAAAAAAGAAGAAAAAAAAGAGTAATAAAATACTTTGGAGGAGTATGGGGATGGCAAAAAGGGCAGGAGACAAATACAGTGATGATGAGGAAGGTTTATGACATGGAAATTGTTATGTATTCAGACGTATGCCACAACGGGCTGTATGTCTGCCTTTCTCTTATCAGCCAGGAGACCTTCAAGCACTTTGCTGCATGTAATTTAGGTACGTGTTGTCCCAAACTTCTTCATTGGCACTATCTTTCCCAGTCTGGGTTAATAAGAAACAAACATTAGATACTAACAAACCAAAAGCTACAGACGGGTATAAAAAGCAGAACCACAGCTACTGGCATTTCGTGTAATAATGCTCTTAATCCTTTTTGTCTGTACTCCTGCATACCTCATTTTCCTGAGTTGTCAATGTCTGTGACTAGACTCTTATTTCAGCTATAATCGTCTCAGAGTTGTAGCCTTTTTCTTTCCTTTATCGTTAAACTACAATGGCTACATATGTGCTTGAACAGCTTAACAATGGAATCAACTTAGTATCAATATTATGCACCCAACTTGATTCACACTAAGAAAATGCAGCTAACAGCACTAGGGAAGCAACACACAATAGAAATTTTTGTACCATGATTTCATCAACGTACACTGATATACAGAGTCTTAGGGACTGCTAACATGAAGTAAATATATTTCCACCAAAGACTATTTTAAAAGCCTAGTCATTTATCATTCTTTTATACTTTTATGATAAATGACTTATGGGAAAATACTAACCAGAGAGCAAAGTATTATTATCACTATTACTGCTGCTCTCTTTGCTCCTAAATTACCATCTGAAATAGATTTCCCTACGAGTCCCCAAACTAATGGCATTTCTTGATTTTTAACAGCAGCCACCTCATGATTTCTGCTGCATAAAGCAATAAAGCTGAGTTTTTTCATACCGTGAGCAATGCAATGATTTTAACCATCACTGGGAATCAAGGGTGACTTGGAACAAAATTCTTTATGGTCAGAAATTCAAAACTGAAGTAAAAATAGTTGATCCAGTTTGAATAATCCAAAATGTACTGACCAGTAATTACATTTATAGTTTTATAAATAATATTTGGTACAGTTGAGAATTTATGGGACGCTGATGTATGACCCAGCATTAACACCAAGAGAAAGCAAGGATTAGAGAAAGCTGGACTTATCAAGCTTTTGAAACAGTATCGACAAACACTCCCTGTCAATGTATATTTCCACAGTAAAAATGTACTTTTTTTCCTAAGGTAAAAGAAACAAATACAAGTAATAACAAGGCATGGTTAATTGCTTAACCAAGAAAAACAAAATAATTTAGCCAACTACTTGCTATTTAAGCGAACTAAAAATATTCCTATCAGACTAAATTACAAACAGTGTAAGTAGTGGGAATCACTCTATTGACTATTGCTTAGTAAGGAGCAATTTCTTTCAGTTGATGACCTCTTCTTATATAAACAACCACTTTCAGGAGATTACCAAAAAAGCCTACTTGATCAAATGATTCTATTTTATTTAAACTTCTTTAATTAAATGAGCTCAATCTAATTCAGTTTTGAAGCTCACAAGTTTCATTTTTGCTTCTCTCCCCCTTTTCAGGCCATTTGTATTGTTTAATGGTGAAGATACCCGCAGTGTCTAGTCTCTGCAATGAAAAACTTTCATTTAAAGCCATCATTGCCAGTTAAAGTACAGGATTAAGAACTACTTGTTTTATGACTGAACCATGAAAAGGTCTTTAATCCTGTTATTACTAGTTAGCAGGCATTGCTAATTCCATATGATGCATTTTAGATAAGTAAATATCTCAGAAGGAATACTCACTGTTGTGCCACTGATTGCTGGCTTCCTCGGCTTTACTCCCCATTCATTTCCTAAAGTGGCTTTGTCTCCATCCTCAACCAGTTCTCAGCCACGCTCTGAACATCCCCACAATCCTCTTAGTCTACTCTGTCAACTGAAGTTTCCCTTCTCTCCTCATCACTCGTGGCACATGTTCTTTCAACTTTGAAAGCTAGCCTGAAGAACAATTTTTTTCTTGAACATATGGATTGGAATATTTTAAAGTTCCTGAAGAACTTCAAAGCCACCCAGCAGCTCTTTTCCTAGCAAGCCTCGAGCTCATGGCTTACCTAAATTTAACATTAAAAATGATGAATTTATGTTCCTTTGCAAAACATTTACCGAATACAACCATACCTGTTCCTCCACGTAACTAAACAGCATGTAAATGCACATCGATGATTCAGGGTTGGCACACTGGCAAGTATCGCTCTACACTGCCTGCAGCATTTCAAAAGATCAATATCCTCATGCTTGAGGCTGTAAAAACATCTTTGAAAGATTCACCGTTATGGTTAGTCATTTAATCTCATCTATAATTTTGAATATTTGTTATATTTCAGGAGGTGCCATTTTCCACATAAAGCCCACAAACTGCTGTTTGGACTGACGGGAATGGCATTGTGCCCATTTCCTACAATGATGCTGCTTAACCCCTGCAGTCAGGGCTGCATTCCCCTCCATTCGTGACCATGCCAAAGTGCTCATCTGTAATTAACTCCTTCACCTCTTGGAAATAAGGACTTGGAGTTATAATGTTGATTTCTGCAGCAAAACAAGCAGCAGACTTGTAACAGGAGTGACATTATCATGAAGGCTACCAGTTGTGGCCCGAGAGGCTCTTCGCTTTGCTCTCTGTAAATCCAAGCTGTGGATTTAATTAAGCACAAGTACTTTGTGTAGCCACGAAAACCAGTCTCCCATCTTACATTACTGCCAGAGCATTGCAGCCAAGAAAGACATACTCATTGTGAATTCTTCGTCCCAGTATAATATTTATATGGTATAAAGGTACCTCACATGTAACTCTAAAACCGCTGAAATTGTAATAGATCACCACTTGAAATTAATTTTGTTCACAAGATTGTGCATAGATCTTGCTCGCTTTTGTCTAGCGTTTGCACACCCAATACTGACCGGCGGCTAAGTGTCTTGGCTTCGTGTCCCTCTGAAATAGCTACGACTAGAAGCAGCATGTGCACAACAACTATGGTTTTACCAGAGAGCAGTGAAGTGGGCTTTTTCTCCCCGGTTAGTCCTTGGCTCTCGTTTGCCTGCTGAGGCCACGACACCACTCCATGCTTCTCCTGCTGCCTGAGGTGGTGTCAACTGTGAAGTGACTTCAGAGGAAAACGGACATTGGTTTTCTTTTATGTAGATTATCATGAGCAGACCAATTAAGAGTAGAAATGGAAATATTCCTCAGCTGAAACATGCAAAAAATCCTACATTAAGCCCCAGAAGCAGAGGAAGTCCTTAAATATCATGGTCAAACTCTCCCCTCCCCGCAGATCACCTATGTGCCTTTTCTTTGGTTCATACATTTTTAGCTTTCTTGCTCAATTTAACCATTGCCACCAATGCTTTCTGGTGAAAACAATATCTGTAGAAAACTCCGTACAGTTCTACTTTATGCTGCATTAAAATATATTTCCAAGCTTTTATTTCAAAAACACAAAGACTAGATGTAATTAATTTTTTTTAGGTGGCGGCTGCTGCTGCTGATTAATTGCAGTACAGCAATATGAGGGGATGAGTGCACCCTCAGTAAGTTTGCAGACGACACCAAGTTGGGCGGGAGTGTTGATCTGCTCGAGGGTAGGAAGGCTCTGCAGAGGGACCTGGACAGGCTGGATCGATGGGCCGAGGCCAACTGTATGAGGTTCAACAAGGCCAAGTGCCGGGTCCTGCACTTGGGTCACAACAACCCCATGCAGCGCTACAGGCTTGGGGAAGAGTGGCTGGAAAGCTGCCTGGCGGAAAAGGACCTGGGGGTGTTGGTCAGCAGCTGGCTGAATATGAGCCAGCAGTGTGCCCAGGTGGCCAAGAAGGCCAATGGCCTCCTGGCCTGTATCAGAACTAGTGTGGCCAGCAGGAGTAGGGAAGTGATCGTGCCCCTGTACTCGGCCCTGGTGAGGCCGCACCTCGAATACTGTGTTCAGTTTTGGGCCCCTCACTACAAGAAGGACGTTGAGGTGCTGGAGCGTGTCCAGAGAAGGGCAACGAGGCTGGTGAGGGGTCTGGAGCACAAGTCTTCTGAGGAGCGGCTGAGGGAACTGGGGTTGTTTAGCCTGGAGAAAAGGAGGCTGAGGGGAGACCTCATTGCTCTCTACAACTACC